GTGTGTGTGTGTGTGTGTGTGTGTGTGTGTGTGTGTGTGTGTGTGTGAGAGTGTGAGAGTGTGAGAGCGTGAGAGCAAGGATACGTTTCTTTTGTCAACTGAGAATCGAGTCTCATTGCACAGTCTCACCTCATTAAAGCAGGTGGCATAGGAACAGGGAGTAGTAATGACTTGAAACCACGGGTAATTACTTTGTGAGTGACAGTGAAGCTTGGTGATCTCAGGATGGTATTTTAGAAGATTGTATTCTTTATTATATCTCAATACATCACGTTGCTTTTATTATACATTTCTTTTTTAAATGGACATTTTTTGTTCTCTAATGTTTCAACACAAGGTTTTGCTAGATTTTAATATCTTAAATCTCAATTTCAACATTCAAGGAAAGTTATCTTTTTGTTTTCAAGAGTATTCAAAAGTATGCTTTAATTTCATGAAGTCTGTGTCTCACTTCCAGGGTTCAATCTGCAGCACCGTCGGTAGGAAGCAAGCCTGTTTCCTCTGATGAAAAGGACCCTGTTAACGCTCAGCGGGAGAGGCGACCGGCTCCTCAGCCTCCAGGAAGGAATCCAGCTGAGAGACAGAGTCAGAGGGAGCAAGACGGAGCTGCACAACATCTGGCACAAATTAACAAGAAGAGTAAAGACAAAGACATTAAAACCGTCAGCGTTCTCCCTCAGCGCTCGGTGCAAATGATCGCTCCTCTGAGTCGGTCTCCCACAGAGACAATGAAAACCCAGAGCTTGACGCAAAGTTGTGCCGCCAAAGATGCATCAAATCTAGCGAAACACGGTAAATGTACTGCTCCGCCTAGACCTCGATCTGTGGAAGAAGGGCCGTCATCTGACCAAAAAACAGCCCCGTCTTCTGATGACAACATTCCCCACGAATGTGGCTCAGAGGCAAAACAAGCCTCTAGCGTTTATGGTTTGAATCCCTTTGAAGACGATGAAAATGCAGCCCAAGATGATTCAACCACCTCTGGTAATACTGGTTCAGTACAATGGCCTCCAGTCGGGTCACAAGCTGCTGATAAAGACACCGCCTCTCAAACAAAAATCAAATCCTCAAAAGCCCGCGCTCCCCAACTTCCTGCAAAGATGGCCGCCACGTCGAGCACTTCAATCAACCAAAACGCTGAGGGAGGCCGTGGTACAGGCGTGACTGTTACCGGTGTAACCCACACATGTGACCCTGCGTCAGAGGCCACAGGTCCTGTGCGTGTCCAGGAGGCTCCGCTACAAGAGTCCCAGCCTGCGCCAGTGCAGAGTGCTGGGGAGGACGCAGGTGGGAAGAAGGTGGGGCCGCCCAAAACTTCACGCAGGTGAGGCGGTTGAGACCCTCAACAGAATATTTATATAACTCATCAATCTCCTCGTATACCACTAGCTCCCAAATCATGACTTTCATAAAAAGATTCATAACGCCACACAATCCTAATGTAGTCTTCTATGAATCATTCTTTATTCATACTCGTTCATTATCCATCTTTGCTTGTATTATTGATAATCTTATATCCGATAAGGTCGGTGTGGATGGCTGAGCTTGCAGCGATAATACAAACATATTCTGTTTGACTGGTGATTGCTAAATGGTTGCTAAAATGATACAGCTTTAATACTTAATGTTGTATTTCCTTTAACTCCCATCCAGTTAATACCTGCATTGTTCTCTCTTTTTTTTTTTTTTTTTTTTTGTCATTGCAGGCTTCAACCCGTAAAACCCCTTAATCCTTTGGAACAGCAGTCTGTTTCAGTCGTTCAAGGGGTGAAAGATAACAGCTCCGCAGGCATCCTTTGTGACGTTCAGGTGAAAACGAAGGTATTTCTTTTCTTTTTAACCAAACTGTTTATGGTGGTTAAAGGATTTTCTATCTCTAAATTAAACGAGGAAAGAATCTGTTCATGTGTAAATGCTTGTTCATCAAATAGCATCAATATTTGAATATTCCATTTTTGTCATATTTGTGTTTTTAATATACACATTCTCCATGTTTTATGTACTCTCGCAGGTAAATGACACTGGGCTGAAAGGGCCCTACTCGCAGCTGACTCGGGGGGAACTCGTCTCTCTGGTGCTCAAACAAGAAAAGCAGCTGTCGGCGAGAGACAAAAAAATATCAGAACTGGAGCAGTACATCGACAACTTGCTTGTGCGGGTCATAGAAGAGAAACCAAGTATTCTGTTGTCCCTGAACCCTCTGAAAAAAGCTGCATAGGTGGATTCCCAGCTGACACTTTATCTCCTCTGTTCCTAATCGGTTCAGAGCCAGTAATCTGACAGTACCGCAACCGGAACTTCAAAATACTTGTGAATTACATTGTGAAAGGTAGCTGGAGTAAATGTTTGGATTTACAAGGTTTCACTATATTGGCAAATAAATAATTAAAATTTCAATATATTTTGTAAAAGACATCTTGCAGAAGCTGTTGCAGATTTAACTAAAATCGTTTTAATTGGGGGATTATGTCAATTTGCAATCAAAGATGTTAAGTACAAA